CCCCAACAGCAAACCCCCCAACTCCTTCTACGACGGCTACTTCTTCACCGTAAAACTTCCTAATAAATCGGCACTGGCATTACACAGGGGTGAGTGGAGAAACACATGTTCTTTGTACAACAGAAACATTAGAAAAGGACACAAAACATACAACGAGCACTAACTTTGGCTTGGTTTTCTCTCCTTTTTTTGTTGTTTGTTTGTTTTTTTAATTTTATTTTTATTTATTTCCTGCAACCAGGGATTTGAGGCATCCCCCGGCTTCTCTTTGGATGCTGAGTTTGTCTCCGTTTCCTCAGCCCTGAGGAAATCCCTTTACTATGGCAATTGAAACCTGAGACCATGGCAATATTATCCTGAAGAAAAGCAATTTCCAGCTGGCAAGGTATGGCCAAGTTGGCTTGTCAGACTGAATGGGGCAGTTTGTTTTGCTTTTGATCTGGGCACTTTATTCCAGTCGCCCTTAGTTCGTATTTGAGTCGCTTCACCAAAAAAAGGGATCGATGGAAACAACCTGACGATAACCAACATTTAAATTCATCCAAAAGCATCCCTGTGGATGGCTCGGTCTGCAAGGAGCCGGCGCCCCAGCTGGGGGCTCGCAAGCTGGAGTCGCCCACTGCAAGTGGGGTTGCAAATTTGGGGCAGTTTCCTTGGATTTTAGTGATGGGAGAGGGTCGGGACTCAGACGTGGGACTCGCAACCCTGTCGAGGCCAAGTGTTTCTAACCAACGGGTTTGGCATGGGCAGCCAGTGGCTAAAGTTGTTCCTCCAAAGAGATCTTTGCTCTTTCATTGCATGAGGGCAGGAGGCATCAAATGTCCCATCCTGGAGATCCAGATTCAGCCCGTGCTGCTTTATCATCCAAAGCACAGGGGGCAAAACTCCCAAGTGTTTCTGAAGGACCTGGGTGCTTGAATCCTATTGACGCAGGCTCCAATCCCTTGGAAAGCGCTGAGCTCTCCCCGCTGACGCCCGGCAGCTCTGCTGGGACAGCCAAATCCCTCCATGTTCCCAAGTTTCTCACGGACCTGCTGCAGCGATTTCTGGGGCGTGCGTGTTTCCCTGCCTCCCCATCGAGTCTTTAAGGCCAGAAATGAGGTGGGACCGAAGGCTCGGCCTGCAAAACGAAAGCTCGCCTTGCAGGCAGAAAGGCTGTGAGGAAGAGCAGAGGAGCTGGCGTGGGCACCATCACCCCCTGTCACACGTAGAAACATCAAAGAGTTAATAAAATGACATGGTATTATTTACAAGTCTTGCTTATCTCCTTGAAGAAGGGAGGAAAATCACCTTCTGCCTTCAGGAAAGAGTTTCTGGCTGAATCCGGAGGATAAGGGAGAGTCCGTAGGCGCAGACATACTCAGCACCGGTGCTGTGCACTAGCTCGCTTTGCAGTCATTTCTCTGCAAAAAGCCCCTGATGCTCCAGGCAAGCAAGACGCCAAAGCCATAGCTGTGCTGGGGACATCCCCCAGGACTGCACTGGCTGCTCGGTGGCAGCTCGCAGGGGGAACGGGGTGCTCGCCCACCCGGCGGCTGCTCTCCAGCATCACCCATGAGTGAGCTGGGTGCTGGGTGGGGAGCTGATATGCCAAGAAAATGCACTTATAGCTCTGGAGACGTGGAGGTGGTGAGTGATGTCCCCTCCCGGGGGCTGCGGTGGGGTCCCGGCAGAGGGAGGTGCTGGGGCCACCCGAGGACGCCCCGGGGAGGCAGTCGGTGCACCAAGGGTGGGCAGCACCCACTGCGCGCCCGGACGGAGGCAAAGGGCCTGCAGGGGAGTGGGCAGGGGCGTTTCTGAGCCCCCTTCACAGCGCTGGAGGAGAAGGAGCCCTTACAAGCAGGGGGTCGGGACCGCCAGCCCCGGCCGGGTCTGCGGGTGAGGGGGGACAGTGCAATTGCGGCAGGGTGGCTTTGCTCCTGGGTCGGTGCAGCGCGGGGACGCCGGGGCTGGTGCCAGGGGAAGGATGAGCAGAGCCCTTTCGTCACGTCCCCACCACAGGCAGGCACTTTTTTAGCCCTTTAGACCTTCGGTGTATCCCCTCGCGGAGCTCCAGCACCAGGGAGGTGGTGGCACCCAGACCCCTGGTCCCCGACGTTGGGGTGGTCCCCGCCGCTCCTCACCGAGACCAAACACTGGCAGCCCTGCAGAGCATGCGTGGGGGCTGTGCCCCCCAAATTTCACAGTGTAGGTTGGGCTGCTGGAAGCCAAGTCCTTTCCCCCAGCCCACCCCCCATAGCACAGCCCGGCCGTAGGACCAGACCCCTTCCCAAATCCTGGTACAGCAGCTCCAGATCTCTCCATGCCCGTCCCAGCCCTGCCCTTCGCCTGCGGTTTGGGGAAAGCAGCTGGATTTCAGGGCGTTGGAGGGGAGCAGGAGATAGCGGCAGGGTGGGCCAAGGAGGAAGGGCAGGAGGAAGGGGAGAACTGGAGCCCCAGGGAGGAAGGAGAAGGGGCTGGAAGGGGAGAGAGGAGAGGGCTGAGAGCACGGTGCTCATTCCTGCGTCCGTCCGTCCAGCCTCACGGGGCTGCAGAGGATGCTCTGGCGGCAGACGGGCTTTGGGCGTCGGGCGGGACTGAGGCCCGCACCCGACCCGCTTACGGGCTGCCTGGGGGAGGCGGCGTTGGGAGGGGGCGATACCGAAAACAGGAGCTCAGTGCATACAGGACAGTAAATTGGGGGGGCCCGGGGAGCCCCCGCTTCCTTCCCCACCCTCCTCTCCAGGGCTCTGGGGAGGGGAGGGGCGAGGGGGCGAAAGGGGAAGGGGACCCCGCGGGGCTGCCCCGGGCCACCCTTCGGAGAGGTGGGCTCTCGGCGATGTCCCCGCGCTGGATCTTGCGCAGGGCGGCAAGCAGGGCGTCGAGGGTGGCCGTCTCCTTGGAGGACCAGTCAGCCAGGAGAGCCCGGGCGGGCGATTCCTCCCGGGTGAAGGAGTCTATGAGGTCCTCTTTGTAGCCCAGCTCCCCAGCCAGCTGCCTCCACGTTTCCTCCGTGGAGCTGCCCAGCAGCTTCTCCACCTCCTCCTGCTTGCTGGGCGGCAGGTTGGCGTAGAGGTTCCCGTCTCCCTTGGGCGCTGGGAAGGACGAAGCAGCGTTAAGTCCATCCCCGGGGTGCCCTTGCCCACCCTGCAGCACCCGGTTCGCCCTACCTGGCCCCTGGGTGCTCTGGCTGGGTGGCTGCTGGTCGTGCAGGCTCTGGCTGTCCACCGAGATGCCGCTGTCGCTGTGCAGCTTCTCCCCCTCCGGCGAAGGCGTCTGGTTCACCGGGCGGTTGTTGGCCCCTTGCTTGTTCTGTTTGCAGTTGTTCCACCTGCAGGGAGAGGAGCGGGGAGGTGACAGCCAGTGGCAACGTCCCCCAGGCTGGAAGCAGGTTTGTTGCTTTGCTCCCCTTTCTTGGGACCACTTTTCCCAGGGAGAAGCGTTTCTCCTACAGCCTCTGGCTCAACCTCTCCAGCACAGTGGCTGGATCGGTTTAAATCGGCATTTGCAGGTGCTGAGTGGGTGCTGAGCTCCCGAGCTTTGCAAGGGACCAGGGCAGGGCTCCCTTCTGCATGGATCTGCTGCAAAAATGCAGCTGTGCTGCTGGAGCACGCAGGGGTCCCGGGGCTGCCTGTGGGTCCCCCACCACCCTCGGGGTGCCTCCAGCCTGGGGTGCCCGGGGAGCCACCGAGCCGGCCCTGGCCTGCCCGCGGCCAGGTGCAAACCCAGCACGCCAGGGATGAGCCGCTGAGCGTGATCGGCCACGACGGCCGCCCGCGGCGTGCCAGAACGAGCAGGGGCCGGGTGGGGGGGGTTGCAATGAGGGCTCCCCCACCCTGCACCCCCACCCTACTGCCATCTCCCTCTTTCACCCCTCAACTGCCTGATTTCTCATGCATTTTTGGAAATCCACCTCCTATCCACCCAGCCTGGTCCCTTCCCTCCCTTGTTGGTGACAGCTCCAGCTGCGGGACCTCCAAGGGGTAGGTCACAGCCTGTTTCCCACTACCCAAATCCTCTGCCATGATCCCACGGTGCTGCCTTGGTCCCCCACCTTTTGAAAGCGATGTAGGCCACCAGCCCCACCACCACGGCTGCCAGGATGGAGCAGTAGACGGGGATGAGGTTGTCGGCGGTGCCGCGGCTCACAACGGGCTGCGAGCTGCCCATGACGGTGGTGACAGTGTCTGCCACGGTGCTGGGCATCACTTCGGTGTTGAAGGGGTCCCTGGTGATGGGCTCGGGGCTGTCGGAGACCACCAGAGACGGCGTGTGTGTTGTCCAGCGAGGGTGGAGGTCTGCCAGGCAGACAGGGGAAAAGAAATGAGAATAATTAGCCATGCCTCCAGCCATGCCTTGTAACGGGCTGTGGCAGGTGAACTGGTGAAGGGACAACGATCTCTGCAGGGATCTTCTTCCAAAGGCTGTGGGGCTTGCAGAGGTGACAGCTCTGCCCCACCCCCTTGTTCTCAGGCTTGTCCTTGCAAACCACCTTGTCCCCTGGCCCCAGTCAGCACCGGCCTCCCTGGTCCCCAGGACAAGCTGAAGCCATCCCCTGCCCCAAATGGCTGATGGTGCCGGCTCATGGCTGGACACGGACATGGCTTTGTAAGCTCTTCTTTCCCAGCACTGGGTTTGCTCGAATCCTGCAGCTCTTCCCCCGATGTGCAAGCTGCAGACTGAGCCCTGGGCTCCCATCGCTGGTACCGAAGCCCAGGGACGCGGCCCCAGCTGCCTCCCATCCACCGCACATCTGTACCGGGACCCACGTAAGGCAACCCAGCTGCCTCCGCAGCTCGCACAGAGCCGGGGTCATCTGCTGCCAGCAGCACCAGAGCCCGGATTTGCCCCTTTCCCGGCCCCTGCCTGCAGCCGTGCACCCCACCAGCCCGGCCCCGTTTGGGAGTGACCCTGTTCCCACCACACCCAGGCGTGTCCCGTGGAGCAAGTGGATATGTCTTGTCTTGCCCCAGGGAAACGCTCTCACCTGCGGCTGCCCCATCCCCTCCCCTGGGTGCTGGCTCCCTCCCAAG